TGTAAAACTTTATAAAACTTAAAAAAACACTATCGTCGCAATCCCCAAAACATTTGCAAAATTTTGGTGCTACCAATTTCGAAAAAAATCAGTCAATAAAGGTGGAGGTGTAAAACTTAAAAAAACCGCTATCATCGACATTTCCAAAAAATTTTCATAATTTTGATATAAATTTCGTGAAAAAGTCGATTAATAAATTTGTAAATGCGTAAGTGGATACGTGAGTGGGTTGGTGGAGTTGTAAAGCTTTAAAATAACATTTAAAAAATACATACACACATTTTTTCGGAAATGGTGACAATAATGGTTTTTGATACTGATTTTGAAAAAATCAGTCAATAAGTGTGTGAGTGCGTGGGTGGGTGAGTGGGGATGTAAAATTTAAAAAATTCATCATTATCGCCATTCCCGAAAAATTTGTAAAATTTGGATACAAATTTCACGAAAAAAAAATCAATTAATAAATTTGTAAATGCGTGGGTGAATACGTGGGTAGATTAGTAGGATTGTAAAAATTAAAAAATTCATATATAGTAGCCTCTAAAAATTTCAAACATTTTGGTACCGATCTAGAGAAAATCGGTCAATAAATTTGTAAGTGCGTAGGTGGGGGTGTAAAACGTAAAAAAATCGCCATCGTTATCATCCCCGAAAAATTTGCAAAATTTTGGTATTAATTTCGAGAGAATCGGTCCATTAATGAGGGAATGCGTGAATGGGTAGGTACGGTTGTTAAAATTTAAAAAATTATATAGCGACTGTCCTCTAAAAATTTCGAAAATTTTGGTACTGATTTTGAGAAAATTGATCAATTTTGTGAGTGCGTGGGTGGGAGTGTAAAACTTAAAAAAATTGTCATTGTCGTCATAAAAAAAAATTTACAAAATTTCGATACCAATTTCGAGAAAAAGTGGGGGTATAAAACTTAAAAAAACCACATTGTCACACTCCTTGAAAAATTTGCGAAATTTTGGTACTAATTTGGTTAAAATCGGTTCACAAATGTGGAAGTAGTTCGCGGTCAGACCACGGTCGTATACACAGGTCTGGAAACTCTTATGGTGGGGGTAAGGCTCTTAATGTCATGATTTGTGGTTCATAAATCGGTCGCTAACCTCAGAGCGCTGTGATCGCTGAGTAAAGAGCTTATAGCGGGGAGCACACACTCTTGCATAAGCGCATAAGCATATGCATAAAAAATTCGATTGGTTGAATTTCTTATGTACACGTTTATAGACCAATCAAGATTATTATGCTTACGTTTATGCGCCTATGCAAAAGTGTGTGCTTATAGTCTTAAACTCATTTACTAGCCTTTCAAAATGTTCTATAATGTTTATATAAATCAGTTTCTCTGACATTGCTTTTATCAAATCTTTTGAAATTAAAATCTCCATATTTAATATTTCACAAGTTTAATTTTTCTATTAAAAAATATATAACATCACATTATTGTTACAATATCAATATACATAGTAAAATATATCTTGGGGCGGCGGGTGGCCGTGCACGCTGCGTCACCGAAACTCGCCTGAGGCGAAGAGTAAGTGTAACGCAGGTTCGAATCCTACCCAGACCCCAAGTTCGTGATCATCTTCGCTACTTATAGTATTTTTATTTTTAAATGTCTCAGCATCAGTGATCTTTCCAGCATGTGATCGCTGTAATCGCTGAGTAAATACTAGAAAGCGACAAAGTAATGATCCATCAGAAACACTTCCAAACAAAAAACCAAAATATAGTTGTCGTTGCAAAAAGAATTGTCTATCGAAATTTTGCGGCTGCGTAAAACAAAAAATTTCTTGCAAAGCAATATGTAAATGTAATATTCAACTTTGTGAAAACAAGGTAATATTTATTGTTATTTACTGATTTATAAAATGTTTTTATCGTGAGTAGCATTTTTAAGCAACTCTACGTAGAAATTAATTTTATTTTACAGGATACACATGATAATACTGCACATGCTGGAAAGACCACTGATGCTGAGACATTTATAAATAAAAATACTATAAGTAACGAAGATGATCACGAACTTGGGGTCTGGGTGGGATTCGAACCTGCGTTACACTTACTCTTCGCCTCAGGCGAGTTTCGGTGACGCAGCGTGCATGGCTACCCGCCGCCCCAAGATATATTTTACTATGTATATTGATATTGTAACAATAATGTGATGTTATATATTTTTTAATAGAAGAATTAAACTTGTAAAATATTAAATATGGAGATTTTAATTTCAAAAGATTTGATAAAAGCAATGTCAGAGGAACTGATTTATATAAACATTATAGAACATTTTGAAAGGCTAGTAAATGAGTTTAAGAGTCTTCTTTTAAGTGAGTGATATTACATTTTGTATTATATTTCAAATTTCCAAATTATATTCTCATTCTCATGTATTATTCTAATGATATACCTTTTTTTTGCAACTTTGTCGAATAATACAAATTTTACAAGATTAATAAAAATGCATAAATTTATCTGTTCTGCACTTTATTTTTATAGTAAAAGATATATCGGAACTTATTGTAAATATAGAATCCTGAGAAGCTTGAACAATATTATATTGCTTAAGGGGAGTGTGATTTATTGATTTACATAATAGAAATTAGTCAATATATCCTCTGGAATCTTCAATACAGAGAATTATAGATAATATTTTGCACGAAGATTTTCATCTTTTGGCACTTGAAAAGTTGACCATTTTTCTATGCACTTATATTTATTTGTTGTACAATTCGGCACAACACATTCCGACGGCATTTTAATAAAATTTTAATTAAATAGATATGACATATGATATATATGACATATGAGTTATGATATAGTCATTTAAAAAAGAAAGAACTCTTACTATGCGATCACAGTGCCATACGGCTAGCGGTTAACTCAAGAAACTTTTGACATTCATTAAGAGCCTTACCCCCACCATGAGAGTTTCCAGACCTGTGTATACGACCGTGGGTCAGACGGACGATACTTATAATATACTAGCTTTTCGGACCGCGCGAAGCGCGGTCCTAATATAGTCTTTATAAAACTTTATTTAATATAAAAGAGATAGTTCTTTTGTTTTAAATATTTTATTTCGCAAAAATAAGCACCGTCTGTCTGTATGTCTGTCTGACCGCGAAAATATTTATACAGATATAATTAGATATATTATGCAATCAAAATATTTATTAAAAAATTAAAAAAATTTAAAATTAATTAATTATTATTAATTTTTATTTTCCATTTCTAAATTCTTCAATTTCTCTTTGTCTTGCTGACATTTCGTCCGTGCTGCTATGCTCATCATATAACTTATATCACTCCAATTTTTTTTCGTAAAAACATAGCCTTCTTTATGTTAAAAAAAATTAAAATCCCACCATCTCATCACACTCCCCAAAAATTTTGCAACTTATATATATAGATATATAGATATAAATATTGTAGGCCAACCAAACGAGCAAAATTACAAGATATAAAGATTTATTAATAATTAAATTCTCATTCCATTAGAGAAACAATATACAACGTAAACGTTTCGACTGCACTACAGTCTTCTTCAATACATAAAACTTAATGTATACTCAAACTTAATAATACTCAAACATTAATGTAAGTTGAAAGATTTTTCAATTTTTCTCTGATATTAATTAATTCGCGTAAAATCTCCACAGCATGATTAAATGTCGCAAAACTTGAAATCTCAGACTAATCGTCTTACTTATCCATTGTTCATTAGCGAAGAATCGTTAACTTTGTATTTTAATATTTAAGTTTTATGTATTGAAGAAGACTGTAGTGCAGTCGAAACGTTTACGTTGTATATTGTTTCTCTAATGGAATGAGAATTTAATTATTAATAAATCTTTATATCTTGTAATTTTGCTCGTTTAGTTGGCCTACAATATTTATTTCTTTTAATTTCGTTAATTTATACGAGCCTTTCATTAATTAATTTTATATAGATATAAATAGATATCCAATTTCGAGAAAATGAATTAATAAATGTATGAATGCGTGGGTGGATGCGTATGTAGTATTGTAAAACTTAAAAAAACAACACATAGTAGTGATCCCCGAAAAATATGCAAAATTTTGGTACCAATTTCGAGAAAATCTGTCTATAAATGTGTTGGTGCGTGGGTGGTTGCGTAAGTGTGTGAATAGGGTGATAAAAATAAAAGAAAACACATATTATCGATCCCTGTAAAATATTCGAAATTTTGGTACCAATTTCATGAAAATCCGTTTATAAATTTGTTGATGCGTGGGTGGTTGCGTGGATGAGTGAATAGGGTGTTAAAAATTTTTTAAAATCATATATTAACCATCCCCGACAAATTTACAAAATTTTAGTACAAATTTGTGAATAAATGTGTGAATGCATGGGCGGATGCGTGATTGGAATAAAACTTAAAAAAACCACACAATAGCTTTCTATTAAAAATTTGTAACATTTTGATACCAATTTCGTGAAAATCAGTCAATAAATGCGTATGCACATAGGTGGATACGTGGATGGGTGCGTGGGCGGGTGAATAAGGTGATAAAAATTTTTTAAAATCATATAGTAGCCATCCCCGACAAAATTTGAGTACAAATTTCGAAAAAGTCTGTGAATAAATGTGTGAATGCGTGGGTGGATGCGTGGGTGAAGGTGTAACACTTGAAAAAACCACATTGTCGCCATCTTCAAAAAATTTGCAACATTTTGATACCAATTAAAAAAAAATCGGTCCATAAATATGCGATTGCGTGAGTGGGAGCGTGGGTGGAAGCGTAAAACTTACAAGAAAGTACCATCGTCACACTCCTCGGAAAATTTGTGAAATTTTGGTACCAATTTGATAAAAATCGGTCCACAAATGTGGAAGTAGTTCGCGGTCAGACAGACAGACAAACAGACGGACGGTGCTTATATATATAGATAGATAGAGTATGTGCGTGTGCGTGTGCGTGCGCGCGTGTGTGTCGGTGTATAGTGCACCTACACACTTGCCACTAACCAGTATAATAGACAGTTTTGCGAGACACATTATACGTTGCCTTCGGTATACTGAGTAAACATTTGACAATTGTTGCTTCCGGTAAATCTTCATCCAATAAGGCAACGCGTGATAAAATATTATACAGTCCATCCTCACGCAACGTTACGGTGGGATTTCCAATTTGCTCTTCTGGAATATCTCTGCAATGACACAAATGTAATAATAAATACAAGTTAAATGTGTCCCTTAACAGTCTGCATTATCGACAGGAATTACTATTTCGTATTTCTAATCTTTCGTCGCATTAATTTGACAGAGTTAAAAATGTTTCTCCATGATTGTAATACATATGTATATCAATAATCTCAGGAAACTCCGATTTTATATGGAAAACGAGAAATTACGAAATTATAGTTTTCCTTATTTCTCAGCCATAAGTAATGTCGAATCAACGTCAATTCGTCGTCGAATCGACATTGATTGGTCGAATCGACGTCAAATCAACATCAATTCGACGTTGATTTGATTAATCATTTCTGGCTAAATTATTTTTGTCTCAATATGGCGTCTCGAATTACTGATAAACTGTCAACGTATAATATATGCTTTATACAAAATATATACTTTATATGAACGTAAAAACAAGTTTGCTGAAGTTGAAGTACGCGGAAAAAACATTCTGTTATTTTTGAAATTCAGATTAAAACAGAGTCAGTAGCCGGCGGTACTGTCACTTTCAAGCCTTATAACTCAAGAAGTATTTCATAAAAAAATTTTATTATGCTTTGGAAAGCTCTCGAGATAGCTATAAGAATATGCAATAAAAAATAGAAGGTTCTATTTAAGAAATCCATTCCATTTAAGGCTCTATTATACTTACAAGGCACATATACGCATGACTCGTATTATAGACTATACATACATATACATACATATACGAGTGAGTCAATTAAAGTGTTACAGACTTTTATATCTTGGAAACGAAGAATTTTAGAGAAAAATGTTTTAGACAAAAGTTGTATGGTTTCAAGGAAAACATGAGATGGTGTCATTAATTTGACTTTGAATAGTCATTTGAAGGTGACCTTTACGTAACCTTCAAATGACTATTCAAGGTCAAATCAATGACACCATTTCATGTTTTCCTTGAACCATACAACTTTTGTCTAAAACATTTTTCTCTAAATTCTTTGTTTCTAAGATATAAGTCTGTAACACTAATTGATCACTCGTATATATATGTATGATATCGATATAGTATGATAGTAGTTTGAGCTCGGTAAATGTGTGCCTTGTAAGTAGAGCCAAAAACACAGACATTTATGTTTAAGGGGATGCTGACTCT